AATATATTGATGAGGAAAATTGGAATCAACCCACGTGGGTGGAGGTGGTGTGTAAAACACTTTATGAAAAGATGTGGGTATTGTTTATTTTATGATGATAAATAAATAAGAAAAGATGTGTGTGCTGGTGTATGCATGACGGAGCAGTGTGCATATCAGTGTGGGTATTGTTTATTTTATGATGATAAATAAATAAGAAAAGATGTGTGTGCTGGTGTATGCATGACGGAGCAGTGTGCATATCAGTGTGGGTATTGTTTATTTTATGATGATAAATAAATAAGAAAAGATGTGTGTGCTGGTGTATGCATGACGGAGCAGTGTGCATATCAGTGTGGGTATTGTTTATTTTATGATGATAAATAAATAAGAAAAGATGTGTGTGCTGGTGTATGCATGACGGAGCAGTGTGCATATCAGTGTGGGTATTGTTTATTTTATGATGATAAATAAATAAGAAAAGATGTGTGTGCTGGTGTATGCATGACGGAGCAGTGTGCATATCAGTGTGGGTATTGTTTATTTTATGATGATAAATAAATAAGAAAAGATGTGTGTGCTGGTGTATGCATGACGGAGCAGTGTGCATATCAGTGTGGGTATTGTTTATTTTATGATGATAAATAAATAAGAAAAGATGTGTGTGCTGGTGTATGCATGACGGAGCAGTGTGCATATCAGTGTGGGTATTGTTTATTTTATGATGATAAATAAATAAGAAAAGATGTGTGTGCTGGTGTATGCATGACGGAGCAGTGTGCATATCAGTGTGGGTATTGTTTATTTTATGATGATAAATAAATAAGAAAAGATGTGTGTGCTGGTGTATGCATGACGGAGCAGTGTGCATATCAGTGTGGGTATTGTTTATTTTATGATGATAAATAAATAAGAAAAGATGTGTGTGCTGGTGTATGCATGACGGAGCAGTGTGCATATCAGTGTGGGTATTGTTTATTTTATGATGATAAATAAATAAGAAAAGATGTGTGTGCTGGTGTATGCATGACGGAGCAGTGTGCATATCAGTGTGGGTATTGTTTATTTTATGATGATAAATAAATAAGAAAAGATGTGTGTGCTGGTGTATGCATGACTGCCGAGAGATGATAATGTTTTGTGGAAAAAGTAAAGTGATAGAGAGAAAACCAGTCCCATTCCTCACACCTGCTGGCTGCTTGGCCTCTTTCTCATCACAGATGCACACGGGGTTATCACAGAATGAGCGAACATTCCAAGGAGGACCCAGATTAGTTCCTCAAAAATGGGCAGTTAAAGCCTCAGTTAGTGGGTCTCCTCCGGGACTCTACTCGGCCAAGATTTTCGAACTCACACCTCAGAACGTTGACATGGTTCTTGAGGATGTTCGGCCTTACCTCATCTCCGATGGTGGCAACGTCGACGTCGTCTCTGTCGCAGACGGTGTCATCTCTCTCAAACTCCAAGGAGCATGTGGAAGCTGCCCTAGCTCAACAACTACCATGAAAATGGGGATTGAACGAGTACTGAAGGAAAAATTTGGAGATGCAGTCAAGGATATTCGCCAAGTGTATGATGATGACCACACAAGTGAGACAACGGTAGAGGCGGTGAATGGCCATCTTGATATATTGAGACCAGCCATAAAGAACTATGGTGGGAATGTGCAAGTATTATCTGTTGAGGGTGGCCTGCCAAGAGAGTCTTCAGGTGAAGATCATGATGATAGCAAACAGATGCCAGATGGTGATGGCTTCCCAACTTGCCGGCGCAGATCTGGATTTGTCTAAGGCACAAAAATGTGAAAAGAAAGAAGCAGGGTGGTGATGCTGTAAAAGAAAGAATCTGTGAAGAGGGCATTGATCTAGGTAACACACAACACACTTCCAATTTCAAAGGTGAGAGTGATGGTCCATGGCAGCAAGAAATGTGACAGCGGAGTTAAGGTATGTGTAGAGGTCCGGCGGGCGGCCAAGGTGACCCCCCCACCCGCCGGTGAAGTAGAATGATTAGGTTCTTAACCTTGCTTTGATACCATGTAAAATATATTGATGGATATTATTTATTGATGTATTACAAGATTGATAAATTACAATTCCTATACAATCTATATATAGAAGAAAATGTGGTAGTAGGTGTAGTGGACGTGATAGTGGGTTAGGTGAAGTGGAGTGTGTGGTGAAGTGGAGGTAGATTTAGCATCAAAACAAAGCCATCACGGTTTCGGAAATTCTCAATCCATATTATTCTATTGTTGTTTATATACACGTAACAATTTGTAATTGCTTGTAGTCAATCGTGTATCCCACAAATACACCACCATTAAACTTAACCCATCACATATCAATCTCAAAATATGAACCACCCAAATGGGATGCAAAATACACTCTAAAATTGAGCAAAATTGAGACTCCCAACATAGACTATATCAATATATCTATTTAATCATATATGCCCATAAAATCATCTATTGATATATTAACACTAAAATCATAGATAGGAATACAATAAAATAAATCTTACCTAAGTGATGAATAAAGCAAAACCACCACTCTTATGAATCCTCCCTCTTCCTTGGTTTGGGTTTCTTTTCTTTAATTTTAAACTTTTCCAAACCCTTGCTTGCTGCCTTCACCTTCAACTCTTCCAAACCCTTTCTGCAGCACAAGCCTCTCTTCTCTTTTTCTTTTCTTTTTTTTCTTTTACCTTCTCAAACCCTAGCCGCCTATGGAGCAATTCATAGCCTCTGTTTTGTTTGTTTTCCAAGACTTAAAGCCACAATAGGTGGGCTTATTAACCTAATTTCTCAAAGTTACAAAATTACCCATCTAAGTAATAGGAAATATAATGCCATCTCATAACTAATTCTTTGATATTAATAAATGACTCATATAAGTTAATTTAATTACTAATCTATCCAATAAAATAATCCTACACATAACTTGGGTTTTACACTACACTCCACCATTGTCAATTTATACTCAATCATCAAAGATCTTGGATTCTGTTTTGGATTTGTAAGATGATGATGATAATGATGATAGATACAAAAATTCTCCAGATCACACCTCTTTTTCTTATTCTCTCTATCAATTACTTGTAAACTAATGTCGGAGAAATTTGTGTCAGTGATAAATTTATCACTGAGAGAACTATTTTGTATATGTAAGTGTGTGAATGTGTTTTTTTTTAATGAATAAGTGAGGGAGTGTTCATGTATGCAAGTGTGAGTGTGTTAGTGAAAGAGAGTAAGTGATTAACTAATTTGATAAATATTGATATAGTGATAAACTTTTTATTGATATATTTTCAGTGATAAATCTATCACAGTAATAAATTTATTCGTCTTACTCTTTTTTTATATGAAAATATATAAATGTGTTTCTTTGAATAAATAAGAGAGGGATGATGCATGTATGTAAGTGTGAGTGTGATAGTGAAAGAGAGTAAGTGATTAATTAGTTTGATAAATGTTGATAGACTGATAAATTTATCATTGTTGAATACTTTTACTTCTTTTCCATTTTTATTCTTATCATCAAATTTGAGGAAGTATGAGAGAGTTACATGGTGAAGATGGATGTCGATTTTTCTTAAACAATTACAGAAAAATTGTCAAGAATTATTACCAAAAAAATATTGTCAGAGGTGGTCGCAGGCCGCCAAAGATGGTGTCCACCGAGAGAAGGTACAGTCATGGTAGTGTGAATAATAGAGATGAAAAACATAAGGAGAGGGCATTTTATAGATATTGATAGGTGAAAAATACAATAAGACTTATAGATAAATAAGTCTAGTCAACAGAATTGGCCTGTAAGTGCCCCCTTTAAATAAATTTTTTTTTTTTTAAAAAAAAGAGCTAGTTGAATTTTTTTATATATTAATTTTTGGTATTTGATTGTTATATTTACATTATTAAAAAAATTCATATGAAAAATCAAAAAATGGTGTGATCATTATGATGGTAGTAACATAATTTCACTATTCAATCTAACATTAACCAAGTGAACTTTTACTGTTTTAACATTAATTTAGACTGAAATTTTATTGTACGTTTTTTTTTTTCTGAAATTTTGTAGTTAACATAGATCTTATTTGATATATTTTTCCAAAGGATTCCAAAATATAATTTTGTCAAAAACAAATATCTACTTAAAAAATTATGCAATTTTAAAGTTTTAAAAAATAAGATAAAGGCATTTTGAGGACAAATTGCACCTCACCTATCTTGAGGTTTGAGAAAATACAATTAGCCTTAGACTTTTGACATCCATTTTAAGACTGACATCTCTTTAACTAAATTGACTGAAACTAATACAAATGATGAGTAAACATCATAGTTGTCAATCTCGTACCATACCGGTCAGTACATACCATACCAAAAAGAAAATGGAATATAAATAGGTCAATACCATTCAAGTTAATCTCTCGATGAATACCGGCCAATTCCCTAAATATCAAACAATATTGACCAGAAAATGTAATTTCAGCAGAATTGAACAGTATGCAAGCAAAAATGAATTTTTGAATTTTTTGTTTTATTTTATAGAAAAAATTTGTAATAAATCCATACTCCTACCGATGTAAGCCTTTAAGGACAAGGGTGAAATTATTGGGACCATAAGGACATTTGTTGAAAATTTATTAGTCAAAATGACATTACCTATTACCTATTGAAATTTTTATTTTTAGCCTATCTGTTGAATTTTTTTTTTATCTATTGAATTTTTTGAATCTATCTATTCAAATTTGTGTCTATCTGTTAAAATTCACCAAGCCTATTTGTGGCACCATAAATCTGCAGTTCTTATTATTAGTTATTATTTATATAATTACAAGACATGTGACACTCTCTTACTCATTTGGAGGTTATGAGAAGTTATAAACTATTAAACGCATGTGGAAAGGTTATGAAGTATTAAACACATGTAGAAAGATGATGGAAGACAAAGTGGAGAACATAGAGCATCTAGTGGAGGTTAAATGAAGTTATAGAGACATAGAAATGAAGTGAAAGATCATGGAGTACGAAATGGAGGAGATGAAAGAATGGTGTAATTACTAGGTAGTTTTTTTCCTATAAGTCTTTGCCTATAAATAGTCTTTCATAGCTACATTGTAAAGATTCAGCTCAAATCAAAGACAATTAATTTCTATTTTCTTGTCATTTATATTTCCTACACTTTATGTTCTACACTTTACTTTCAGCACTTCCTTTTCGAAGCATAGAAGTAGAGGTAAATTAATAGTTACTTTAATTGTTCACTCAATCACTCCGATTTTTCACTCAATTATCCTTTTTCATCTCCCTCTCTTTTTCTTTTAGTTTTCTTTTCTATGCACTTGACAATTTTGAAGTACTCTTCATTGAGGCCAAAGAACCGTCAACGCAATTGATTGATAATTGGCTTGAATTCAATCTATAAGGATTTTTCAATTCTTATTGGCACGCTCACATTTATGATATTTTCCTTTCTAGGAAAAATAACCCAACAGTTGTTTGGCACACCTAATAGGACGTCAAGTGTAAGAAATAAAAAATGAATTGGATTCATTCATTCCAAATAGCCTAGATGAAACCTTTCAGGAATAAATAAAAAAATTTGGATTTTCAATAAGAGATCCATTTTCTTGATGAAACAAACTTTCATACATTACAATATTATTTGGTGGAAGAAAAAAGACACCATTTAATTTAAGAAATTCATCAACTTGATATGAAAATTCACCAATAGAGAAACTAGTTTGTAACTCTCACTACCAAGTCTTTTACCAAGTCTTTAATGGTTACAATTGGTGAGTGTTATCAGATTTTTTCCAAGTCAATAACGATTGAAATTGGAAAAGAGTCAGCTTCATCAATGGCTCGGGAGGTCAAGAAACCCATTTTTAAAGAGCCAACTTATGAAAATAACATGACTAAAGAGCATATTATTGAGCCAAGCATTGTTAAAAATGATGTTTCATATAAGGCTTGGGGGGCTGAAATACCCACTCTTTGAGAATCAAACCATGGATTCCTATGGAGGATTTTCATAAGTCATTAATGGCTAAAATAGAAAAACAGCCCATTAGGCCAAGAAATAATGAAATTCAAGAGGTAGAAGAATATATTCTTAAGCCAAATATGGCTAAGAATAATGAACAACCCATTGATCATGAATCCGAATTTTTTGAGTTTGTTCAAAATGTCAAGGTATATGAATTTTTAAAGCTCTTTTATGTGATAGCTTTTGTTGTTTAAAATTTATTTTGGATTTGTGGATCACATCAAAACTTGATTTTGATGAAATGGTTTTTGAAAGTATGTTCGTTGAATTTTACATTAAGAGAGCAAAAAAGTGGCCAATCAATTTAAAATTGTCATGGCCATTTTTAGTAGTCAATCATAGCGGCTGCAAGTTAAAATTTATAACTAGCCGAAAAACCATGACTACTAATTTGAACTCTCAAAGAAGAGACCACTTCGAAAAATTATGGGCAAATCAAATAATGTGTACTATCTGAAATTGGCACTGTGTAATTAGCCAAATGTGGCTAACAAGGAGAACATATGCAATTTTGGTTTAATCACTTGTGCTTGTACTGTTAGATCTTATCAACTTTGGCCATTTCATAGGAACAAAAGGGTTCTGGATTTGAACAATAATCATTTCTTTATTCAAAGGAAGATATGGGCCATTCCCTAGAATAACTCATTCGAAGGGCCAAAATTCATTAGTACATATTTATGAAGAAGTAAGGAATGAAAGGTGGGTCATATTTGAATATTGGCTCTCTTGAAAATAAGAGGTTGCAAATTGCTTGAAAAGAAAACAACTTCAACTTATTTCGAAGCATTTTCCTTAAACATTCTTGTGCTTCGAAGTATTATCTTTAAATATTTTGTGTTTCGAAGTGCTTCAAAGCCACCAATATTTGGTTGTTGCTGATTAAGAAGTCTAGAAATTAAGACCATAAAATTATGTTGGCATAATTTATTAGAAAGAATGGACAAATTAAGTGCTTCAATGGCTGCATAGCTAAGAGCTTCAAATGAATTAAATATCATCCAAATGGTCTATTTTAATAGGCACATACCAAGAGCCTCAAAGCTAAT